AAAACCGGGGGGGGCCCCCCCGGGTTTTTGCCGGGGCCGGGTTCCCCGCTCCCCCAGGGGGGGGGGGTGTTTTCGCCATCCAAGGGTTCCCCCGTCGGCGTTTCAAAACCTCCACGGTTCCGGTTGGGGGGGTGACAATTGGTTTTGTTTGGCCTTAAGGATTTTTTCCCCAATTTTTCAGGGTGCATGCGGGCTCCGGATTTTGCGGGGGGGGGGGGGGGGGGCTTTGTTTTCGCACGAGTGTGAGTATGGCGATTACGCCTCCCGCCTGTGCTTAAGGTACCAAACGCCCACGGTTTATTCGTTGGAGTTATTCAAAGCGAAGCTCTTGTCCATGAATAGCCTCCCTGGGGCTGGGAGAGAGGCCAAAGGCCGTGGCCGGGGAGAGGAGAGATACACTCAGTTTTGTGGACATGGTCACACATACATGCCGGTTTGTGAACAAGTTGCCGAAACCGTTGCACGAACGACGGGCGTGAGTAAGCAACTATCCATACGGAAGAGCCAGCCGGCCTTCGAACGGGCGTGTCAGATAGCAGTGAAACCCTCGTCCGGCGACAGCGGGGAGGGAGGGGGATCCGCGACTGAGGCGACCTGACGAGAGAAGGCGTCGGCTCTGGCCTGCTTCGTAGGCTCTACAATTGTTGCAATATTATGCGCCCTGGAAACAACTTGCTTGTGTGTACAGTTTATGCTTCCGTGCGCGCAAGAGGGAGAGACGATTTTACTTGGTGATTTGTTTTTGCCCAGTTCCAGCTCATAGGAAACTACCTGTGCGTTTGCCCAGGTTCAGTTCAAGGCGAATCGCTCCTTGAGAGACAATTTTTCATCCGTTGTGAAGGGGATCTCCACAGCCCGCCGTTTCTCTCGTTGCGATCGTACTGTACGAGGGGAGTTTCCTTGTTATTTACTTGGCCTGGAGGGTGGGTCGGGGTGAGGAAGTTAGCTCAGTTTGCTCAGTTCGGTCGTTGTTGTCTTCTAGTGGGACGCTGGTACAGTAGGAGGTGACCACGGGGGATCAGGGGGGTAGGAGGAATGGGGGGGGCATTTTTGTAAGCAAAAGGGAACAAAACACGCGGGTAGCCCTCGAAACCGTGCACGACTAACTAACCGTTTGTGAGGTACAATAGTTTCGTCTCCTTTCTGCGGGTGTTTGCTTCCACAGTTGCGGTGGTAAAGGCCACGACAGAGCCGACCAGGAAGACACACAGACAAAAGATACGTTTCGCAGTCAAGGGTTGGTTTTTCCCCTTCCAATGTTTATCCGTTGTGGTGGGCGTCTGCTCAACTTGTTTGGTTCAAGCACCGTGTTTTCGTTCATTCAACATAGTTTCTGCGTGCAGCGTACTTTTGCACAAATGACCGCTTTCCGCCCAGTGATCTTCGAAACTCCAACACGTTGTTTTGGCGGCTGTAGTGCAGGCATCCCGAATCCCGCCGACTTTTGATTTTCGAGAGAAGGCGTCCGCAAGCATGTCCACGCCCAAGCTTGGTGCGTGGCAGCGGGGAGGAAAAGGACAGTCGTTGCACTTCGGCGGACTCGAGCAAAACACGGCGACCTAGTTTTGTGACCGAGCAAAACACGGCAACCTAGTTTTGTGACCAGTGCCAAAGACATTTGACACCTCACTGAGAGGAGAGGCGGGGGGGGATTCTCCTGATCATGCATGCCTTCTTGGTCGTTTGGCCGAAGACCTGGTCTCCCAACAAGCCGGTACATGGACGGTGCAGACTTTGTTACCCGGCTAGATTTCCGTAGCCCCAAGTGCGAAACGCCGTGAGGGGGAGCTGTAAGTTGGTAGTAAGGGTTCTGGGCATTCCTTGACTACTCCCTTGCAGCAAGGGTAGGAGACAGCGCGCGTGTGTGTGTATAGTATCCGTTCCAACATGAGCGGGTTTTCAAGGCGTTCCTGCTCAGCTCTTGTCGAGGTGTTTCGCTCGATTCTCAAGTTGCTTCAAACATGGCGCTCCATCCGCGTCCGTAAACCATGCAACATCCAACAACCACCCCTCCTCTCGGGTTGAGAATGGGCCCTTCTTCACATGAAGGCCGACACAAAAAACGAAAAGGGGGGAGAACATACGCCGTAGACTATGATGGCGCCGTTCGAATTTCAGGCGATCGAGAAGAAGAACGTTGACAGTACGCATTGCCAGGTGTGCTTTGGTTTTCGTCACCGCGTCTACGTCTTATTGTTACGTCGTCTCGTCGTCGGGCACGTGAGTTTACCACAAGACAAAAGTGTCCAACGGGACGGGGACCTCCATCCGGCTAATAATGGTCGTGGTGGTCCACTACAGGCCTGGGGCCATCATCGCCGCGCACCCGGCTTGCTCGGTGAACAGGTTGAGTTGAAAGCATAGATAACATCGTTGTTGGTTTTGTGTACCGCTCCGATCTCTGCTCAATACCTTCTACTGCAGTACCCGTGCTGGATCCAACTGATGCGGACGGCTTTCGTGGTCACAGGCTGCACTACTATTATACCCAAGATTAGGTACATACATACTTCTGAAAAAATCAAACAGAAAAGAACCCAGGATTCATCCAGAACACCTATTTACATAGATCGACGCTCCAAACAAGTCAGACGTCGCAGGCAACATGTCGAGCAAAGGAGATGGAGAGAGCCCACCGCTCTCATTCACCACGGGTGGCCAAGCCAAGCAAAGCAAGCAAGAAGCATCACAGATCACCAATCCAACCAATTAAAATCACTCGCTACACAAAATCTTCGAAGGGGTACTACGGCAGTGTAGTAGCAGTTGAACTCTCGTCATACCCGGTAGCACTACTTGAACGCCAAATCACACGTTCCGGCCCATTTACGTACTTACGTGCATCATCAGACTTCCCTTCCTCACACCTACATGACCTGGACACCGTTTTCAACCGTTCCCGTTGATAATCTCATCGTTCATGAGCTTTCATCCCTTGAATGCTCGCCCATCTTGAACACGGAGACAAAAAGATCGACCACAACCATCAAAACGACCAGTCCCGCAAGGCAGCACCGTGAAAGAAACACTAAAACTAAACACGACACGTTCAACACGGAGAAGCCCGGCGACAAAGAATCGGTGCGGCCGACAAGTCGCAATTTTCTGTTCTCCGATCTCTAGTGGCACTCCTCCGGATAGATTAGTCCTCCCTGCAGAAGAATCGTTTGAATGATACCAAGCAGGTGCCTACCCTGTCCAGGAATAGACATGTGGGGGCGAAGCACACTATGTACAAACCTGCTTCTTGAAAGCCGAAACGTCGTCAAACGTGTCCTAGGGTACAATTTCTGTTTTTTTCCCCGCCAACAATAACAACAATATCAAGGATCTTCCCCCCCTCCCCTCCCCTCCCCCCCCC